CCTCTAGTCTGGATATATACACAGCTATTAACTGCAGCAGCCAATAGGTTGAACTCAAATTGGTTTTGCTGGCGAGCATTCTTGAGCCCAGGATGGTAATCCTTCACACTGACAGTTGGGCTGTTCTAAAGGGATTAACCCTATGGCTTGGACAATAGGAAGCTGAGGGGCAGGTGATCATGAATAAGCCCTTGTAGGCTTAGAATATGTGGAAAAACATTTGAGTTTGTCTGCAAGAGCCTGACACAGTTCTCACCGCCTTCCAAGTCCAGGCTCACAAGGCACTCACACCCCTGGCACTCAGGAAGCTCATGTCTTTGCTCAAGTATGCACCCTAGCAAATGAACCTTCAGTGGATAATACAGCAGATTTTTTTTGCACAGAAAGACTGGCCATAGTCCAGGCTCACAAGGCACTCACACCCCTGGCAATCAGGCAGCTCATGTCTTTTCTCAAATATGCACCCTAGCAAATGACCCTTCAGTAGATAGTACAGCAGATTTTTTTGCACAGAAAGACTGGCCACTGAAGTGGCTGTGGGATGGAATGTGGCCAAGGATGCTGGTTTGCCCTTAAAATGCAGTCACAAGGTTAACGTATTAATAGCATGTCTTGTGTGTTGTAAACAATGCCCAAGACAATTGCCACAGGTGTCTGAGGCCATCCACAAAATTTCCCAGCAGGTGCTGGATTGGAAAATGATTATATTGGCCCCCTCCCTCTGTGTGATGGTTCTACATATGCCCTGTTGTGTGAGAAGACTGTGTCTGTCCTAATATAAACTTTCCCTATCATTGTGTAAAACAGGCTGCCACCATTAGGGGCTAAGAGAAACTGGGTTCCATGTATGGACACCCTTGTGGAATAGACAGGGATAGGGGTCTCACTTCAAAGGTCATGACGTACCAGACTGGGAAAAGGAACATGACATTGAATGGAGGCCCCATCTCACCTATAACCAGCAAGCAACATGTTTGGTAGAAGCGAAAAATGGAATATTAAAGCAGTAGGTGAAATTACTAACAGATAAAACACCTTGGTTGGCTGGACTAAAGTGCTATTTCAGGCTTTAATACATTCGAATGATCAGCCAGCAGGGCCTGTGACCTATGTGCCAGACTAGGGACCCTGCCAACACACCCAACACCTGAAAAGTATGGAAGACAAAGAGAGCCATTGCTCCGCATTTTTGTGGATCAACGAGCTACCCTGCTGAGAACCCAGGTCCCATCATGCCTGGGAAAGACATTATCTACTGGAATTTGCAATGGGACATCCCACAGAGATGAGTGAGTTTCTTTGTACCCCTGGATGAGAGGGAACAACTCAATCCCAAAATGTCTGCTGCAAACCAGACATATTAAAATACATGATACCTGGAGTGAAACATTCACGATTAGAGAGAGAGGAGAAGCTGGGAATCCTAGTTGGCCCCTAGTTATCTCTTCAGCCAGACAGTGCTCCTCCTCCAGCCAACGTGAATGGTCTACACAACCAGGTCAACCTCCTAAAGCTGCCAACTTCCTTCTCCTCAAGGCCAGGTGGGCATTCTGTTTTCCACTTGTATAATCATTTGGCCATTCTCTTTGTCCCTCCACTGCCTGGTGGACTTTATATCACACTAGAGGCCCGGTGCCCAAACCGGCTCTCTGACATCTCCTGAGGGGTCCTGGATTGTGAGAAGGCGCAGGCCAGGCCAAGGGACTCCACCAGTGCATGAACAGGGCCAGGGAGGGACATGGGAGGTTGGCCGGCCAGGGAGGGACTGTGGGAGGGCTCCAGGGCATGTCTTGCCTTCCTTGCTCAGTCCCGATTGTCTGGATCCCAGCAGCAAGCTAACCTACCAGTTGGAGCGTCTGCCGCCTGATGGTTAGTGCACGTCATAGCGACTGGCCAACCAGTCAACTGTCTGCCCCCTGGTGATCAGTGCACTTCATAGGGAGCGGTTGAGTGGCCTGAGCATATGATTAGCATATACACTTTGATTGGTTGAACGGCCAAACGGACGATTGGACACTTAGCATATTAGGCTTTTATTACATAGGATAGAAGTCCTTAAGAGAATTCACCCAGCAAGCCTCAAATGGTAGACAACAGTCTGTCTTTTCTGAATACTGATTTAAATGTCTCTAATGACAAAAGCTGTCCTCCAAAACAGATGTCCAAGGGCATGAATACTGCCTTGCAAGGAGGCACCTGTGCCATTATCTAAAGAGAATGTTTTGTGTTCATAATGAGTCTGCTAATGTGTCATCTTTATTAATTCATATGAGGACACAAGTAAATGCCCACCAGTCTATGTGACTTAGTAAATCAATGATTCCAATCATGGGGCCCTTGGTAGAAAAAATTGTTACTTATTTTGGGAATTAGTATCTTAATCTGTGTTTATCTTGCATGTGTCTAAATTCTTGTAGAGACCTTTGCCTCCAGTGCAGCCAGATAGCTGCCAAATGAGCCATCTCAATATTAATAAAACACCTTGCTGACCACTCAAGGCCAATTGAGGAAGAGGGGGTGTGGAAAATTGTAAGAGCCAATGGAGGGGTGGAATGTTGGAGGGAGCCATTAAGAGGATATGACCACTGGTTTTCCCATGACCTTGACCCTGGGCATTCAGTAGCTCCTCACCCTTTTTTCCCTTGACCTAGGAACGTATGCCCTGCCCACCATTCCCACAAAGTTTTCAAGGATGTAGCCTTAAGAGAAAGGTTTTGTTGGACCACCTGGACTGAACACCTTACTGAACCAATTAAAACCTCTCTATAGGTTAAGATTCTGGCCAGCAGGTGCTGAGACCTACTGGTCTCATAGCACAGACTAAGACAAGTATTGTATGTAGTTCCCTTGGTTATTAAACCTGCCACCTACTAACCTGGAGTGGTCTGTGTCTTCTGTTTCTCCCTTCCTTCTGTGTAAGGGAGCCGGTGTACCAACTAATATGTAACTAGATAGAATTTTGCATATTTGGATTTTGCACAACTGTTTCTCCATGTTTCATGTCAAAACTTACTTTGAAACTATTTTAATCTGAAAGTGTTGTATATAAATTGGTATTATCTGAATCAATGTGAAAGATTTTCTTATTGCTGAGTACTTACTCATGGCTGAGACAAAACATGGATTTTATATTCTAAAGTTATCTGATTATTTAAAACTTCAGATTCAAAGCTGAGTTTAATTATAAAATCATTATCAATTAGGAAAAAAATGCATGACATTTTTTTTCTAGTGTTTGCTACTATACCCCAATTGTTTTTCACATTTCCTTCTATTTTTACTTTACTCTTTTCTGTTAATTTTGTCATAGCTTTTCTTTCTTTATATCTTCCTTTTAAAAAATCTCCTTGTTTTTATATCCTTCATTTTACATAAACTCATCATTACCATTGTATGTTTGCTTATTCCTGTTTTTCCTGAACTCACCACTCTTATAAACAAATCCCTTTAAGTATATAGGGTTTGGATAATCTTTCCTCTGATTTTAACTACATTGTTTTTCTTTGCTAGCTCCATTTCATTCTTTTAAAAGTAAATGAATCTTTTAAAATCTCTAAATATGGACTGAAGGTACATAATTTTTATAAGCACAATAGTTGCACTATTTCAAACTAATAAGACACTTCATTTGGCTTGAAAAGTCTCATAGAATAAAATTTCCTTGCTGAAATTATTCTTTAGTTTTACCTAAATTGAGACTTTAAAAAATTTTTCTTTATCTTCATCGGTAGATATATTACTTATTTCAAACATAAACTAAATAAAAAGGAAATGATATATAAATACGAAAACATTTATGTTATATTTTCTTGATTATTAAGATTGGTGAAAATAATATTTATTTAAAACATTTTTCTATTACCAAAAATAAACACCATAAAAATAGTAGCTTCAGCAATGTACACAGAAATACTTTTCAAGTTGACATTAGAACATACTGGGTTTTACCAAAGCACAAAACATATGTTGTGACTGCAGTTGTTGAGTGGGTGATAGTTTTCAACTGTAAGCATAACCGGGTAACATACTTTACCAGAAGTCTAGATAGGAGGCAGTATTTACTAGTTTTTAAGACCACAATTTTGGTCTTAACAGAATGGGTCCAAGTTCTGACTTTGCCACTGTGGTTTAATTCAAGTTATTTCAGTTCTCTGGGCCTCAAGTTTAATAGGCAGAAAAAATGGAGATTTACAACCAAAGACTATCATAAAGATTGAACAATCTTCAATATACAGAGTATTTAACATAGTACCCACTATGTGAACATAGTGAGCATTCAATGAATGGTTGCTAATATTACTGTCAGGCCATTCAAATACACTTGATCAAAATTAATGAAACCATACAAATCACAAACAAAATCCATTTCATTTCATACCAAAATTGATAGCATTACTATTTATGCTTTGGGCAAGTGAAAACAGCTAGGCTTTTATGCTCATGAAAGGTGAAACGCTGAATTATTACTAAAGTCTCTGTATGAAATAAAATAGAAAAGGGTAGTTGTTGTGGTTGACACATGAAACCAGAAACCCCAATCAGGACACATGATCTCACTCATATGTGGGATATAATTATAACGATCGACATAAACTGATGAACAAGAATAAATCCAGAGACAAATGGCAGGGGAGGGGGGATAGAGAGCAACCAAAGGACTTGTATGCATGCATATTAGCATAACCAATGGACACAGACACTAGGGCGGTGGGGGCTTGCCTGGGGTGGGAATGCCTGGGGTCGGGGGAGGGTTAAGCGGGGGAAAAGGAGACATATGTAAAACTTTAGACAATAAATAATAATTTTAAAAAAAGCTGAAACAGGGTTTTAAAATGTGTATTAATCTGGTCACTAGCAATAGCTTTCTTTTCAGGACACTTGGTAGAAACACTTATTCAACAAATATTCTTTGATTGCCTATTGTGTACCTGGCTGTGTTTACCTACCCTGCAAAAGGAAATACCTCCTTTTTATGCTCTGAATGCTTTCCTTTTCCACAGACATTTCCACTGGGCCTGGGAGATGGGCAATTCTATGCATGGACAGATGGTTTGAGAAGAAAAGACTGGCATGACTATGAAAGCATTCAGAAAGAGGCTTTGCGCTCAGGTATGGAGTTCAGTGTAAGCCAAAGTGCTACTTCGCTTACTGCAGCGTCTCATTTGTCACTGAAAGGATCTCTAATTAGTATTTCTTCTGCACACAGTAAGGTATGTCTCATGGGTCAGAGCGAAAACAATTTCAAATTGCAGAGAGAAAACCAATAATAAATAGCCCTTACAATATGAACTGAAGAAGGCATTAAAGTTTTTAGAAATCTATAGTACTTGGTATTACCCAACTGCTTTTTAAGAATCTCTGGGGGTATCTTGGGATTATTCAGTAAGACTTGACTTAATAGACATATGTCTTGAATTAGATTGACTCATTAGGTCAGGTATGTTTAAATGGCAATTCAAAATATTAAAGGTACGGTACCATGTTCTAGACACTGGCAGGGATTGAGGTTGGCAATACTTGGACAAACAGACAGGAAGTTAAACATAGTCAAGTAGGTCTGTACATGTGTAGCAGAATTCTAGCCTTAGGTGAGAGATAGAGGAAACATTTTGCTTGTTGGAAAACTTAACAGGAAAAAGCAAGTTTTTCCAGATGACTGAAAAATTAGGTTGCTGGAAACAGGGATTCAGAAGGCCATATAAGTAGAAATTGATGAAAGTGAATAAAATATAATGGGAAGTCCATATTCTATTATTTGACCGAAGGAGCTCTAGTTTTTTGTGTCTTTTTCATAGTGAAGATGTCACAGAAATAAAGCTATTGTTTGGTAAAGACATCTGAGCAACCCCAGGATGCTGCATCCCCGGTAATTCAGCCACAATGTGAGGTCCTACTGGTCAATCTTCCTCATAGCTCATCCTGTCAGGAAAACTGGAATGATGGTATCCAAACAGTTATGAAATTGTTTGGGGCTGTGAAATGTTTTGAGCTCTGGGTCAGGTGTGGATGATCTAATTATAGACTTCTTTAATTTTCTTCTTTCATTCCTTTCCCCAAATCATGCCCCTTCAATATCCTCCTCCCCATCTTCATTAAAGCTGCTCTGTCTTCCCAAGGTTGTTCTTCATTTCTCAGAGAGTCTTTCTATTCTAGGTTTCATTGTCTTTCCATGACCCCATGAACCATCATGAAAGTGTGTTAGTTACCAACACCCTTACTTTTGGATCCCTCTTATCTTTTTTTCTGCTTTTGCTTAATCAGCCCTATATTAATCCGACAAAATGTCCCCCTTTCTAACTACAGGATGCTGAAAATTTTTGGAGATGTTTATATAATCAAACTTGCCAACTATGAATAATAATAATAGAATAAGCTAATATTAATTGAACAGATGTTTTGTACTAGTGTTTTACATACAGATTTCATTTAAACCTCATAATAACTGTAATAGACAGGTTTTAAGATCTCCAATTAATTTAAAAAGCACAAAGTCTTAAGCATGTATTTATTAAATGTTATCCAAGGTCAAACAGCCAGTAATTTGCAGAGCTAGATGAAAGGTCAAGTCTTATCTGGCTCCATTACGTCCCACAGTCTGACCTTGAATAATATCTGGGAAACATGAGGTAATGATAAGGTCACATATGAGAGACACTCCTGGGATCAGATACTGGCTTTTGCATACATGAGCTGGGTTACGTGGCAAATCAATTTTTCTTTCTTATATTCTACCATCCAGAATTGCTGTGAGGATTAAAGATAATCTACCTTAAGTAATTGGCCAATTATTTGGACATATAAACTCAACTAATGATAACTGTCATTATTAATTCATTGAAGTTACTTTCACTTGACATGGTGTGCTTACCCTTTGCTTGTGTTGATGAGTTTTGGATATAAAATTCAGAACATCACATTTATTTCTGTTTCATACTATCCTTTCTGCCTCTTGAATGAACATGTCTTTTATATTCTTATTCTCACTCGAGCCAAGGGAAATTGACCTCAAAGAAAATTGTTAATATAATAAGTTTTCTAAACTGCAAATTTTCTGCAGAATTAAAAAACTTTAAGTATTAGTATGTTATATGATTCATTGGAAGATATATGACAAATACAATAGACTATAGTTTATCCTTCTTTAAATATTATGAAATAAACCATAAATAAAGAAGTAAACACACACAAATACACATGCAGGTACAGAGTGAAGATAATCCTCCTTGTTCTCAATATCCAGGTCCAGAAAAAGGATCATTTGTACCATTCTGTTCCCTCCAAATCTTGAAGTTTTTGTTTACTCTTATTTTTCTCTATAGTATTTTTTTACTGTCTACATATTTAGCCCTGAATAAATATGGTTGCATTTTGCCTGTGGTTGAACTTAATCTGAAAATAGATTTATACTGTATGATTTTCTTTTTTCACTCTTATTTTTGAGATTCACCTATGTCAATATATAGAATTCTAGTTGATTCTTTTTTACTAGAGGCCTGGTTCATGAAATTTGTGCACAGGAGGGGGAGTTCCCTCAGCCAGGCCTGCACCCTCTCCAATTTGGGATCCCTCTCGCAATCCAGAACCACTGGCTCCTAAGCGCTCACCTGCCTACCGGCCTGATGCCCCTAACTGCTCCCCTTCAGCCTGAGGGCTCTAACTGTTCTCTCCTGATGCCCCTAACTGCTCCCCTGCCAGCCTGAGGGCTCTAACTGTTCTCCCCTCCTGACCTGATCCCCGTAACTGCCTATCTGCTCTCCCCTCCTGGCCTGATCCCCCTAACTGCCTATCTGCTCTCCCCTGCTAGCCTAAACCCCCTTACTGCCCATTTGCTCTCCCTTCCTCTCCGTGCCTTCAGACTCCGGTGCAGGAGTACTGAGAGCTCTCCACCAAGGTCCTGCCCCCGTCCTGGTAACCCCTCCCCGCTGGGCCTGGGCTGCAGGATTGACCTGCATGCACCTCCATGAGGGGGCTGCCCCCATCTTGATGCCCCCCTGTGGGCCGGGCCACGTGCTGGGCCTGCGTGTGCCTCCACGGGGGGTGGGAGGGAGGCTGCCCCCGTCCTGATGCCCCCCTCCAGGCTGGGCTGCGTGGTGGGCCTGCGCACACCTCCGTCGGGGGGCTGTCCC